AGAGAGAGAGAGAGAGAGAGAGAGAGAGAGAGAGAGAGAGAGAGAGAGAGAGAGAGAGAGAGGAGATGGACACACACAAGAAGCAGCAGCTGAGTGAAGGTCCAGTCCGGTTCCCATGAAAGAACGAATGGACAACTGAACGAACCAACCTCCCGCCCTGGGCCTAGGCCGAAGTGATATACCGGCCTAGGTCCAGGTACGGAACAACCTGGTACCGGACCAGGGTCAGGCCAACGGCCTGAAACTGGTCCGGCCTCACTGCCGGGCCGTAGGGGTACCGCTACACGATCCTCGGACCTATGAATGGATCAAGCGATACATCAAACACGCTATCCGCTGAAATAGCGGAAACCCAAAAGGAACGGCAAAAGAAACAATCCTAGATGCGGAGCAGGCTCCATGCAGGAAAAGGGATGCAATGCAGACTAAGCCTCAAGCCTAATCTATACAACAATGTCTGGTCTGTGTCGACCCAAAAAGTAGGAAACTGTCTGACCTGTGTCGGCCAAGAAAGAGAAAAATGTCTGACATGTGTCGGCCAAGAAAGAGAAAAATGTATGACCTGTGTCGGCCAAGGAAGAGGAAAAATCTCTCATGAGTCAAATAGGCTGGATATAAATCAACCCAGGGCCCTAAAGGCCAAAGAATAACTAAACCAATGTCCTAAGTCGAAAACCAATGTGGCACAGTCTCACGTGCCCTGTACACAATGCAGAATACCTGAACAAAGAAGAGGGGAACTCAGTCGCGTGGCAGAGGTAGGAATGGGTGGGAAGGCGGCAGGTACAGCTCTCAGAGTAAACTCCAAGGGGCCACCCATACAACCAGGTAAGGGTCATTAGGCTCAGAGGGAGACTAACAGCACGACACCGGGCTCAATGGAAACCATCAAACGGGTACCGCCAACTGAAAGGGGAAGGGCACTCACACAAGGGAGCGCACATAAGGTGAGCTTGGAAGGAAAGAGAGGGTCATGCCGGCATAGACATGTGGCCAAAAGCCGCGAGCAAAGAAAACGTACACTCCAGAGGAGGACGCGCAGCATAAGGTAAGGGAGAAGGGCGGCAAGCGGACACACCCACATAGTCAGAAGGGCGGCAAGCCCACCCCCCCAGGGCCCCACCCCCTTATATTCCTGACGTCGATGATGACGGTACAGTCGAGTCTCGCGATGGAGAGTGTCCGGTTGCTTATCTATCTCGACAGCTACTTCCCGCTGAGCGTGACTATACTGCCGACGAGCGTGAGGTCCTTGTGCTAGTCTACGCTGTCTATACCGCCAATGGTACGGTGCAGAAGGGCGGCATATGGTTCAATGGACTTCTCACAGCACCGCCAGCTGCAGGTCGTCGAGGTGGCCGCGATCCAGACACTTCACCGGGCAGCCTGTAGGAAAACAGCAGCAGCTCAAGTAGCTCCGGTGTCGATAAAAAGTGCCAGCTTGGGTGACGAGCGAAGGACCAGGCGCGAACGGACTTGGCTATAGCTATCCGTGATGGCGGGCAGAAGGGAGGGAGGGAGGGAGCAGAGGTTCGAGAACCTGCTTCGATACCAATGTGACGCACGTGCGGAGGGCACGTGCGGAGATGGTGAGAGAGAGAGAGAGAGAGAGAGAGAGAGAGAGAGAGAGAGAGAGAGAGAGGAGATGGACACACACAAGAAGCAGTAGCTGAGTGAAGGTCCAGTCCGGTTCCCATGAAAGAACGAATGAACAACTGAACGAACCAACCTCCCACCCTGGGCCTAGGCCGAAGTGATATACCGGCCTAGGTCCAGGTACGGGATAACCTGGTACCAGACCAGGGTCAAGCCAACGGCCTGAAACTGGTCCGGCCTCACTGCCGGGCCGTAGGGGTACCGCTACACCCACCCCTATCCGCCCCATTATCACACAAACCCCCACAAAAAAGCACCCCCTAACAATATCACAAGTTCCCTCTCCAAAAAAAACGTGACCCGATACAATGGAATACAACCCTTCCCTCTAGCCAGCTCCAACCCCGGCAAAAAAAACTCGGAAACCAAGACCACGACGAACAAACAACAGACAAAATAACCTACACGGTCAAAAATAAAATCAATAAACCTCCCACAAAAAAACAAGGAACGAAACGACACCCATAACCCAGACGCACACGAATCCATCAAAACGGGACGTACGCACAACCAAAATTTTGCCTCACAATACATGCATGCAAACGTGCGCCGCACCCACTAATCTGCCACTGTAGACACAACCCCCCTGACCCCCCCCACCACCAACGTCCCACCAGCCTGCGACGACCAGCCCATCACCATAAAACAATGCAAGCACAACCCCTACCGCCCCCTCAACCCCTGCCCTGGCTAATCTCTCCACCCCTCGAAATATGCAGCCGCATACCTCCGCCCCCTACTCCCCAACAAAACGCGACCCTTCCCTCTGGCCAATGTTAAACCCCCCTCGAGGGCCAAGAGCACGACGGACAAATAAACAGACAAAATAACCCGCACAGTCAACAATAAAATCAATAACGTCCCACAAAAACAAAATACGAAACGACACCAATAACCTAGACACACACGGATTCATCAAAACCGGACCCCAGCTCCGTCCGTAACAAAAAGAACAAACAGACACACGACAAAATTTTGCCTCACAATTCGCACACGCAAGCATACGCCGCACCCACCGACACTGAACTCTCCCGCCCGCTCTTGTACCTGAAACCTGCCATTGCAGACACAACCCTCCTGACCCCCCACACCACCAACATCCCACTAACCTGAGGCGTTCAACCCATCACCATAAACAACGCAAGCACAACCCTCACCACCCTCTCAACCTCCGCCCTGGCTCGTCTCTCTTCCCCTCGAAACATGCAGCCCCATACCTCTGCCCGACCTATCAGCTACTTCCCAACCTCGCCTCTCCCTCTCTATATAACCATACACCAGCCCAATGGGGATCCTCAGAGCTCCTATGCTCATGGTTCGATCCCACACGTTGGACGGCCTTTCACCTGTACTCCAGCTCTCAATCTCTCTTCTCCTGCCTCCTCCATCTCCATACCCAATCTTTTGTCCTGCTGGCCTGGGGAACACTCGTTCCCACCATAGCCAGACGCAGAGGATTGGCAGTCTTTTTTGGCTGTAGCACACATGCATCTTGCACTGTGCTCCGACAGCCCGTGAGAACCAAGAGCAGCAACATCCTCCCTCACGTGACTGAGCGATGGCGCAAGCTGGAGACCACTCCCCCGACACAGATATCGAAGAGCACATGGTAAGTCTAAGCCCCTGCGCTTGTCTTCCACCTGCATCCAGTCACCTGGTCACCTCACCACACACCTGGGAGCCAGAGGTTTATCACCCTCTGATGAGCCGTGACCGGCGCAAGCGGCGAAAAGCGCTTTAGGGGATGCGCCACCCCTCCTCCGTTGGACGACTTGCCAACGTCAGATGGCTCTGCCATCTCTGCTCCCCCTCCCTACCCAACTTCTTCCACTTTCCCCCCCCCCTCTCTCTCTCTCTCTCCCCACCCATATGGAGATTTGTCGCTCTCTTTTAATGTTGGATTGTAGGGACTTGTGGTGATGGTTACTACTTGACGCGTGCCCCTTACAATGCGAGGTTGCTGGTGAGTGGAACGTCACGGAGGTTTCCGTGTTCTCGGGTTGCTATGGATGCATTTGCTTTGTTTACACACACACACATTCAAACACACACACACACACACACACACACACACACACACACACACACACACACACACACACAC